ACACACACACACACACACACACACACACACACACACACACACACCGAAGCTTAAGTGAAGCCAGTGTCAAGCCACAGGACACACCTGTAAGATCTCGATGACCTTCAGCTTGGTGTCCATCACCGTCACATCCTCCTGCTCCCCGGGGCTCGCCTGCTTGCTGAGGTGCACGCTGGGCTGAGCATCAGGCACACTGACGGGGAAGATGGAGCCTCTGCTGAGCACCATCTGTGTCATCATCTCCCCCACCCCGTGGATGGTCCTCATGACGTTGTTGCCTAGCAGGAGAAGAGGGCTCAGTCAACACACGCAAAGCATGGTGGCCACGGTGCCAGCACAGATCATCGACGTTATTATGAGGACTTGGCTGCATTCTTCACACCCCACATGTAACTGGCCGCATCTTGGGGATTCCTAAGTTTCCATTCATTTTATAAAAGCTGAGGTGTAGCAGTGTGAAGGGTGGTGGGGGTCACCATGGTGTAGAATGGTTTGACAAACCAGAAAAAGAAATGGTTTTATCTCTAGGAGACAGCAAGTTAATCATGGGCAAAGACTGTGATCAAGTCCCTATAAGCAAATTAAAAAGGTTCTCTTTTCTCTCTTACAAAATGATTCAATCCTAAAGTTTAAAATCTAGAGGGCGGTGCCTGTCACTCTCTGTGAAAGGCTGGAGCAGGAGGATGGCTGGAGTCCAGAAGCTCTAGGCCAGCCTGGGAAACATAACAAGAACCTGCTTCAACAGCAAAAAGGGTTTCGAATCCAAAGAGCACAAGCCTTCTTTGGAGGCTCAGAGGAACCCTAAATTCACCCTGTGGTTTCTCAGACTGTCACTGGCTCTCATCATCGCTTTAGACGTGACTTAAGCAAGCGATGAAGAAACAGGATCCGCCTGCACAGAGCCTTGCATCGCTCTGTAAACACCTTGTGAGGGTCGCCCCCGAGGACTGTTCCAATGGTTTTAGTTGGTTGTTTTTTGTTTTTTAAGAGAGACTTGGAGATCGTCTGAATTGGTTCAAAACACTAAAGCCGACCTCTTCCCTTGTGCCCATGAAGGTAAGCTGTGAAACCTTCTGACATCACGGTCAGCAGACCCAGCCAAGGGATATTTTCTAAACAGGCCTCCCATGAAGGGTCAGACGCATACTTACACATGTGCGGGCCACCAATGCTGTCACTTCCAGATGTGGTTTCCCTACATCTCAAACCACCTTTTTTTTCCTTTGGGTCTGATAAATACCATTGAACCACATCCTTAGGGAGAGGGCTTGGAGTCTGGCTGCCCAGGGATAAAGTGTCAAACACATGGTTTTAGTAATTACCAACACTTCAGGGTGGTGGGAAGGTCCTGGTTGGGTACCAAGAGGGCACAAACTGCCAGATGCCTTATTCCAGCATCCTCTGTTGCTATTCAGACCAAGGGCTTTGAGCTTTTGTAACACAAAAAGAGCTTGGAAGTTGGTTAAAGGTAAACAACCTCTTGTCTGGTGGGGCGGAGGGGAGCCTGAATTCTCAAATTAGCTTTTGTTCACTTATATCCTGAACCCAAGAAGGACATTATTATCTGCGGTCATTACAGAAATAGACAGCAAGCACAAACACATCCACTGAGGAGTCGCTGCCTGTCACTCCCTCTGAGTTTGACTTTTCATCGATTTTCTCCATCCACACTATAGCACAGTTTGCAGCACACCCCCTCGTCAGTCAAGGGAGCACCTGCCACTCTCAAGACTTAGGCCGCATCTTGTTTCCTCCAATAAGCAACTGGACTCAAAAGAACACGTGTCAACTTTTCTTTGCAGACACTGGTCTTGGCTTCTTGGGTGTTCATGAAATTCTGCTTGAAGTAAAGACCTCAGCATCTGGCAGAGAATGTTCCAGAAATTCAGAGAGTGTAAGCCAAGAGGAAAGGGAATAAGAATGAAACGCAGGGCAACAGAACTACAAGTGATAAAAGAATGTAAACTGTGAGAATGCTCACAAGATTAAGATGCAAATAATAAATTTTAAAAAATTAAAGATGGCTAAAAAGAATGTGCATGGGCCAGAGGGCAATGAGCAATGCTAGCTACACACAAAGACACTGTGAAAAGGTGGAGCCGCTTTAAATTTATCACCTTCTCCAAATGCACAGCTGGCAGAGATAATAAAGGGAAACATTCCAGTAACATGATTTAGAGTACATGGAACACTGGCCATTTATCTGACGGGCATATCCCAGGCAGAAATAAACTTGGGTTTTAATTTTGAAGTCCTGGGAACTTTTGTTATATGGCTACTTAGATAACAAAGGAGGGGTGGATTAAAAAAATTACATAAAAGGAATTTCCAAAGTTGGACAGAGGTGGATGGAGCTTGAGGGTTTGAGAGCCCTCTGCTTTCTGTCAGAATAATCCCGAGACAGAGGCTCCACTGTCCAGGACTCTCAAACAACCCCAACCATTGTTCCCAAATCACTGTGCGGCCCACATCTCGGCAAGGTGTTGCAGATGTGCTGGTGGCCCAGGCAATGACAGTTTTAAGTCAGTGGGGCCACCCAGTACCTTTACCTCACTGCTAATTATGTTTACAGGCCAGCCTCCAACGGATGCCTTTTCACACTAATGAAGAACAGGCTCCTTTGTTAGCCTTGCCCTGGCTCACACAGAAATCCGTGGCACCCACAGTGCCTGAATCTTACTTAGATGTGCATGGAAAATAACCATTTAATTAAATGATTATTATAAAGAAGGCTAGCCTAGACAGTTCTTTCCCCCAAACATAGATCCTGTCACCCACAAATTAAAATCCAGAGGCCAAAAGCATTCTAATGTGTAACACATGTAGTCAGGAAGATAGGAGGGTGTGTTCCCATACTCCCAAATCCTCACATGCCTGTGGCAAGTGGACCACAGAATTCCCCTGGCTTCTCCATGTATGGCCAACTCAGAAGCCTCCAATTCAAAGATGCTGCATTTTTCACTTGTGATGAGAAATGTTAATGCTGTGAACTTCTGCAGCTTAAAAAAACATCAGCCCAACCTGTACAAATCACAGGCACACAGACAGTGTGTCCCATGTCCACTGCACAAATCACAGATGTGCAGGAAGTTCCATATCCATTTACCACAGGGGAATTTCTAATTATAGGCTTTGGAGACAAGTCCAAGGTGAACAGTCTTCAATGTTGCAAAAGAATTCTCACTACTTCTCAACCATAATTAACTAACATTTACAGCTTTTCAGTTAAGGTGTTAACACATAATCTTTTAATTCTCTGGAAAATTGACACCCTAGAATTCCAATTTTTTTTAATAATTAACTCAACATCAAGAATTTGAACTGATACAGTGTGTTGAAAGATTTGAGAAAATGGGAATCATCATTGTTATGTTAAAAACAAAAACCATCAGGTGTGGTGGTGCACACCTTTAATCCCAGCACTTGTGAGGCAGAGGTATCTGAGTCTCCATGAGTTCTAGGCTAGCCTGCTCTACATAGTGATTCCAGGACAGCCAGGACTATATAGAGACCCTGTAAGAAATTAGAAAGAAAGGAAGAAAGGAAGAAAGGAAGGAAGGAAGGAAGGAAGGAAGGAAGGAAGGAAGGAAGGAAGGAAGGAAGGAAGGAAGTGGAGAGCAGGGACGTGCACAGGAAGGCAGACCCCTGATTCCCTGAGAGAACGCTGAAATCAGAGGATCATTTGGGAAGACAATTGTTTTTATTATCCCAATGAGCCAAGTGTCTCATCAATTTCAGAAGAGTGGAAAGTGATGAGAAATTTGTGTAACACTGAAGCTGCACAAACTAAAAGTTTTCTGTCTCATGAATCACTCCACAGGGGCAGGATCACGACTCACAGCTGGGTCTGACAATTATTAACAGGTGGATTTAGAGGATGCATGAGACTTAACAGAACTGGAATTTGCCCACAGCTAGCTTGTATTTTAAGTCCTCTTTGTGTGTTAGTCACCTAATGAGGGAGTCTCCGTGGAAGGAGAATTGCCCTGATCAGATTGGCCTGTGGAATTTGCCCCTATTGTTGATTGATGTGGGAGGGTCCAGCCCACTGTGGGTGACACCATTCCTAGGCCAGTGGGCCTGGGCTGTATAAGAAAGCTATGTGGGCAAGCCAGCAAGCAGTGTTCCTCCATGGTTCTGCTTGAGTTCTTGCCCTGACTTCCCTTAGTGACTACTAAGACCTGGAAGTGTGAGACAAATAACTCCCCCCCCCCAACCTGCCCGTGTCAGAGCGTTCTACACAGCAGCAGAAAGGACATGAGGGCCTCATCATCCACCATCTCTGGATATCAAGTGGACGATTTGGGAGGAAATTGTTTCCCATCCCCTACACCTTAAAGGATTTTCACGGCACATAGCCAAGCTCCACATCTCATCACTGTCAAACACTGACATCTCAGTACTCGGAACCTCGGGGTTTTAATCTGCAAAACTGATCGTTAATTCTTCCCAGCTGGCCAGGTGAGCCATGCATGGGTTCAGTACTGCTCTGTGATTGGGAGGTAACTTAGATCATCGGATGTGAGGTATGTGGGGTTCTCACAAAAGTGCATGCACGCATACACTATGTGCCATCCAGACTTGAACATTCCCTTCACCCAGAGTGCTCCCTCATGCCCTGTTAGAGTCAATCTCCCAAAGTTCTCCCCACCAAATACCAAAGCAACTGTCCTGTTTAACTTTTCAGGTGTGGGGGAATATATGTTACATATATAAATGGAATTACACACACACACATATATATACATATATAATGTATGTATGTGTGTGTGTGTGTGTGTGTGTGTGCGTGTGTGTGAGGAGCAGTGCCTAGACCCACTTCTGTCCCCCCGCCCCCAGCAGCTTCAGAGGCATCAGGATCTCCTCACAGCTTCATAGACAGGAATAACACCCCCCCCCCTCCCCGTGTGCAGCTGAGGAAATGCTTCGCACCACTGTGTACTGGCTAATTTAGCAGGGAGTTGGGGGCGGGGGCTCAAATCTACATGTGGTGTTGTTTGCTTCTGACATATCTCATAATAACAGATGAATCTTGAGTGAATGAGGCCTCTGCAAATGGAACATTAAGCCACGTGGCGGATTTAGCCTTTGCTAGTACAAGACAAAAAAAGAGGTTTCTGGGCTACACGCTGCTTGGATAAAAGTGTAGACCCACTATTTCTGAGACTTGATGGCTCCCAGAGCTGG